GAAAGGTTAATGGTTTTTTTTAAAAATATATATACGTGTGTGTGTGTATATTCATCGATAAGGAAATTTTCGAGCGGGGATTATTATTTTTTTTGTCTTTCTTTTTTAGAAGAAGAGAGAGAGAGGTTTTCGTTTCACGGCTAATTGTGATCCTCGTCGACGAGGAGTGTCGACAGATGGGGATGAAAGATGCATCCTCGACTGTCGGGCCAAGCACGCCCTCGACTTTGATGAATTTGTTCAAGAGGTTGTTTCAAGCGAAGCCTCGATTATTCTTTTTTTTTCTCCCGTTCGAGGCTGGGGGAAATTGAATTTTTTCCCCCAGTCAAACGAGACAGAGCCACGTGGTGCTTTCTTTTTTTAATTCGCTAATTGAAACTTCGAGCGATATCTCGCAATGAAGTTAAATAGTACTCTCTTTATCTTCTATCATCTTGAAACATCTTCAAATATATATATTTTATTTCGTACTTTATTTCGAGGGAGTAAGCGAAGGATAAATTTTAGAATTGGAACTCACGTATCTGGAGACGATGACCAAAGAGGTGGCGACGATGAGCAGAGTGACGGATAGGCAGAATTTCGACGGAACTGCGGATGGTTCGAGGGGCGAGGAGGCGTGATCCTCCCAGTCGAGCCTCGAGCCGAGTAACCAGATGTTCATGAAGCATTGGCAGCCCGCGAGCCCGTACATCAGGTACGCTTTGCCCAGATAGCATATGTAGGTCGGCATCGAGGTCGCCACCAGCGTCAGCACACCGATGTACGAGTAGTAGGAAGGGTACGGGCACTTCGTCGACAGGGTTATGTTGTTGGAGTTTAGCGATGGAATAGTTTCCTCGACCACTACGCAGTTGAACTGTGAAATGGTGATATATATATAAGTAATCAATGTTGAAGCAAGTTTGAAGATATAAGAGACGAGAGAGAAAATTGAAACGTGCGTACCATGTCGAGGAGGAGGAAAACGCCGAGGGAGAATATCATGAGCGAGGCAAGAGCTCTTCTCAGCCACATGGCTTTGATGGAGCTGCCCAGACAAGTGGCGCCGGCCAAAACGACGGCGAACAGCACCACGACCCCGATACCGCCCCACGTGAAAGGCCCCCACGGTTGAAACCTCCAAACAGGAGCGGAACAGACCATCACCAATGGGCCCCCTAACAACGACAGGGGGGAGAACGCTTCCTCGGCATTGTGGAACGCCGATTCCACCTTCGGGTCCTTGAAGCGCAGGGTCAACCAGTGTGCGTGACCCTTCAGATTCACCCCTCCAGCTACGATTCGATTCATTTCTTTTTTTCTTTTTTTTTTTTTTTTTTTTTTTTT